TAGGCAAGTGAGCAAGAAAGTTTGGGAATGTATAGAACTTGTATTGCTTGAGAGGAGAGATTACAACTTGGTTGCTTGGTGAGGAGCAAATGAACTCCCACCTCCTATTTATAGGCTTTTGGCCTTACAAGAACATTCTAGATGTGTACAAATGTATGGCCTATATTTTGTGTCAAGAATCCTCCAAAGAAATATCTACACAATTCTAGAACTATGTACAATGTACAAAACAAGTCTAGAGAATTCTAGAGAATTCTATACAACTCTAGACAAATCTAGAAAAGGCTAGACAACTCCACACTAATCTAAAGAATTCTGGAAAGTTCCATACTTGTGTAGAGAAGTCTAGAAAGTTCCGGTCCATGCAGGCTCCATGTCATCGTCTGCTGGGCATCTGCGTGGCGTAGCCTCTTGGTTGCGGGGCGTGACAATAAGCTCAGGAGGAAGTGTCTAAGACACACTTCTTATGTCCCTATGAATCCATACAATGAATAGATAAAAAGTGAACGGGATCATGCCATCGGGAAACACACATTATCAACTACAATAAGAAGTATATAACAAATATCAACCAATCATAAATTTACCACGATGTCATGAAATGCAATGTTATGCAAATGTCACTCCCCATTTCCGAAACAATTCCGTTTCAACAACCAAACCGTTAGTGTAGTCCGACCCAAGGCACCTCCATGGCGTCCCGAAAGGAAGGTTGGTTACTATCCACGACCACAAGGCACCTCCAAGGCGTCGCATCCGGCCTAGTTAACTCAACTACATTCCCTTCTAGACTACACCAACATCACGGACCACTAGGCGCCTCCTAGGCGTCTGGTTTTCGCAACACTTTTAGAGAATATTTTCCCCAAAACAATTTTATTTGTTCTAACAAATATTTTTCCCCCTTTCTCTTTCCCAATGGATGCATGAATGCTTCATGCTTCAAATCATCAATTAACTATATGATTTCACACATTTCCATTTACATTATCATCACAATTTAATGAAAATTTCTAAACATTCATTTACTCTATTTATTTATTTATTTATAACTATAGCACCCATTTTTTTTTTCTTCAAGATAATAAATAAATAAATAAATAATCATGGAGCATACAACACATCAAACACTAAGCATGCTTATTTACCGTAATGAAAATAGATATGTATATGAACTCAAATAATACATGGAACACAATTATCATTTTAATTACACATAACTACAACAATAACAAGCTAAGTAATTAAAATTTAGCATGCTTAAGATCAAATTTAAGGGAAAAAATTCACCAAAGGCCAAGAAATTGTAGATTAGAACACCCCTACCTCAAATTGATGAAAACCTCCAATTTGAGCCCCAGAACCCTAGAATTTTGAACTCCCTAGAGTGCACCAAATGATAATTGGCTCTTATCAAATTGACGACCTCGACGAGCTCAACAACTTTGCTTCACAATGTTCTACCAAATTCCCAAAGGAAAAAGTTAGATCAAGGTTTGAAGTTGCAAAAAGAAAAAAAAAAATTGGAAACTGCCAAGAGCAGACTGGTTGCAGCAAGAGAGAGAGAGAGAGAGAGAATAGTGGATTCGTGTAATGGCCTTATGGCCTTTTGTGTGTTTATAACATGGGTGGGGCCCACTTGCTTTATTTCTTTCAATATTATATATATATATATATATATATATATATATATATATATATCTCACAAACGTCACAGGCAGTGTGTGTGAGTCCCAATTAGAAAAAAATAAATAAATAAAATAAAATAAAAATAAAAGTTCTAAAATACTCCTATTATTATTATTATTATTATTACAACAATATTCTAAATTTATAAAATGTTGGAAATTATCCCATTTGGCAGCCAAACATTGAAAATTTAATTTTACGTGACATATGAACAGAATATTTTGATAAAAATATCATTATACATACAACAAACACCCCTTTAACTTTCTAATTATAAAATTAGATAAATAAATATATGTAAGGATATTTTGTCAAACCATCAACCCACATATCTATGTGTGCCCAAACTCCGTCACAGGATAATTGTTAACTTTTGATTAGTTAAATGTATTTGTTAAAAAACCTTTAAAATATAGGGGGAAAAATAAAATAGATGTTAATTCTCTCCTATATTCTAAATTCATAATGAACGCATGTTATTCTATTGTTTGTGCTACATCAATGTTGAGAAGACAAGGTTCATTATCATTTATATAGACAACATCTTCATGAATCGACAACTAAAATGCATAACAATTATTAATTAAAAATCTACTCTATGGAATTTTCCATCTAACTATCAAATATTTACATTCTCTACAAATCTCTCTACTTTTTAGAATATTATATAATTTACAAATTCATGCACTCTCTTTAATATTCTAGAATCCACCACTCTAGAACATTCCACAATTCTTTACACAAATGTGATCGATTATATATCCATTTTTCTCTTATATCGCATAGACCCCACAACGCCCGTGTGTTGCCTGCCAACCTCCTTGCATATTGACTGAACATGATATTATGAAATTAAAGGTTTAGTATTGCTTAATGGGATTCAAAGAATTCCAATTTTGTTAATGGTGAATTTCGGTACTCAATTTATTTTATTTATTTATTTTGTTTATGAAAAAATAATGCATTTCTAATTTAAATTTTTTTAAAATAAATATTACATAAATGAATCTATACCTAAATGAACAGTGATACACTCTCAAAGTTGCTGCCAAATTGGTTAAATTAAAGGATTCTCTTGAAGTTCTTATATCCCAAGTCCTAAGAACCTAACCCATTGAAGTCCATTTGCAGAATTGCACAAACAATAAAGCCAAGCCAACGCTCCTGACTTATATACGGTGGATGAGGGAATCCCAAATTTTCTTTTCCCAAACAGCCCCTTAAGAAATGGCCAGAAGCAGAGCACCATACACAGGCTACCTGTGAACTCAGCTAATGCCATCAAGTGCACCAACAAAACAATGGTGCCCGGGATGAAAATCGGGGACTCATCGAATGTATACCTTCCAACATTGGCATTGACATTGTCATCACCATCGCCACTACTTGTTTGCTCTTTTTGTGTAACCTGAAACACCGTCTCTGATAGACCTAAGATCTTCAGTATAACACTTAACATTCCAAACAACCATATACCGACATCGCGGTCACTCTCCACATTCTCTGGTTGTTCCACTATGCGCGGATTGACAGGCCAATTTGAAGGTACTCTGATAGGGTGTAAAGGTTGTAGATAACGAATATTGAAACCGGTATCAATAAGGCCGGTTCTTGAACTTGCACGAACAAATCAAACTTATTGTGTTGTTCAAATTTTAAATTTTAAATGTATTTTATTGTCTAAAGGTCGGGTTGTAATCTAGTGGTTCTTTCTACTTTTATTATATAAAATGTCCAGAATTTAAGTCCATGACAGAAAATGAGCATGTGTCTACACAAAAGAAAAACAAAAACTTATTTACCAAATAAATAAATAAAAAACATCACTAATAATTCAAAAAGTGTGAGTTGGTGAGGATAAAAAACGCGGACAGGTCCAATAAATAATTTCTCCAAATGAATAATGATTAGGGATGGAGGGTTGTGGTTGGTGCTTACCAAAATTAGAATTGTGGATAAATGGCCTACTGAAAGATGCATGCCCATGAGAATGATACGTGATGTTGATGAATCTAGGCACAGGCCGATTCCTTATGGTTCAACTTTTATAAGGCAGTCTTCAATTTGTCAACACAATAAACAACAATAGGGCAACTATTAATCATGAATCTGCACTTATTGGGGTTCACATATAGTTTATTGGGCTTCACGGTCTCTAGAACTTGCCTCAAGTCTGATGCATGACTTATCAACACCATAGACACCAATACGATTAAACTATTAATCCTGAAAGTGCACTTATTGAGGTTGACATATAGTTTATTGGTAAGGCCTATAGATGAGGATATCATTAAAGTTGACGAGCTTCAACTTTACAATTAATGGTTGAATGGTTTGATTCATCACATAGGTAGAACTGCGTGGTTCCCTGTTTTAACCAAATGACATGATTAACCACTCATACAGACCTTCATGCATCCTTAAGGTACTTGTCTATTTTGTGGTTCACAGAGCCATAGTTCCGCTAATTGGCACAATTTGAGTAAAGGGGCTCACGAGACAATGAAACTCGAGTGCAGTGGTAAGAGGGAGAAACGGTCTACTCTCTTTTCCTTGTCTGGAATTTGGTCAAGTTTGCCAGGTAGGTAGATGAGTTCATGGAGAGATGAGGGGTGGCTCTGTTAGCCAGAGCATGAGAGGTTTTGGCAGGCTGCTATTTTGTGCCTTCAGTACTCGGTAGTGCATTTTGTAAGGAATGTAACATGCCCTTAGAAGGGGCAGAACTGTCTATGTTGAATTTAAAGCATTTGTTGCTGAGTTTCGGGTAAAATTATCTTTTTCCTGTGATATTTTTGGGAGACAAGGTTTTGTTTTAAAAGAAGAAGTTTTGGGTTTGCCTAGTTCAAACCGAGAGCCAAGAGTTATATTTATATACAAGAATAGGGTACAAAGAAAGAAAACTAAATCAAAGAAAAACAGAAAATATGTCAAAATTTATGTGATTTCATGATTACGAAAATTTTATCTATGTGATCGCATGATAATAGGGATTTTACATAAAACACCTAATAAAAAGACCGAAAACAGCTAATAAAAATAAAAAGATAATAATAATAAAGATATTTCAACCGATTTGTTATAGTTTTCTTCCCTTACATGGATTTTATTTCTTTAAGCTTTAATGTATTGCTTTATCTATGAAACTGGAGACGTTAAATTTTCTGAAAATTCTTTATTGAACAAAAATTCCTTTTTGTATTCTTCTTTTGTACAAAGCAGACCATTGGAGAAGTTTCTGAAAACTTCACGCAATTTGGATGGACAAAAAGCATGGAAGCTTTTTCGTCAAATCATGGAAGGCCTGGCTAAAGTCCATGTGGCTGGTGTTGCACGCCTGGATCTATCTTCATCTAATGTTTTATTAGATGCAGAGGATAATATACGCATATCTGATTTTGGCTTTGGGTAGGTGTCAACTCAAGTCAACAAAGCCTTTTCCTAATTTTTTATTTTATTTTTTCTATTTATGTATCTTTTTAATTTTTTATTCAGTAAATAAGTGCGGTAAATTTGTACAATGCAGCTCGACTATATGACCACCAAACGAAAGTTGACACCGTGGATGATATATTCAGCCTTGGTCTCATTTTTGCTGAGATTTATAAACATTTGCTCACAGAGCATGAGAGGTCTGAGCTTTTACAAAATCTGGGGGAGAAGAGAGATTTTCCAGAAATCTGGATTAATGAAGAACACAAGCAGTTAATGCAAAAAGTATCATCTCTTCTTGCTGGTTAGAGCTCATCTCCAAGTGGAATGCGGCAGCAACAGCAACAGGTTTCTTCTAGTTCAGTAAGCGCACTGCTTGTGATTGGTTGAATTTATAATTTGATTGCTTCAAATTTTTATAAATTCATCATTAAAGTCGAGCAAGATTCTCTGGATCTTGTAAGATCCAACCCTTTCTCATCTTTCAAAAATTATATTTTGCTAATTTATTAACTATTTGACAGGATAAACAAGAAATACAAACTCTTGGTGACAGTGAGGGTAAAGAGCCTGATGTGAAGAAAATGAGGTAATGTACATTTACTGTTCTAAAGTTCAATAGGTTGATTCATACATGGTTTTAATTAATGGCATGTATTGTGTTGATTAAGTGAAAAGTAGCGCAAAGTTGTTGTTCAAGTCACTTTAAGAGAATCCAAAACGGTCCTAACTTGCTTCTAGTTGTACTATTTGGTATTGTGAGAAATAGCTTTGCATAAGCAGCTTGGGATTTTTCATTTCTTTTACTGGTTTTCCATAGTTACTAATGCATGCTGATTGCTGCAATAACTTCCAAATAAGGTATTAATGACTTGGAATTTTGAGAATGATTTAGGATAACATTAGGAGCACCCAGTTTAACTTATAATATCAACTATATACGGTTGCAAGTTGCAACATGCTTCCAATGCCTTCCATTATCATCTGGCTCTATTGATTGACTGGGTTTAGGTTGATGGTAGTTTATTGTTCAGATCTAGTTGGTGATTTCATACCCATCTGAGCGATAACGGTTTCGATTTGGGGTCTCTGTTATTATAGGTACTCACTTGGGCCGTAACAGGCTAGTGGTTTTTATGCATTAAGAATAACAAATAAGTTAAAAAGAGAAAAATTGTAGAATAGTTATTATGCATTAAGAATAACAAATAAGTTAAAAGAGAAAAGTTGTAGAATAGTTATTGTGTTGAATGAGTTTTTCCTGAATATTTTCTTTATTTCCTTTGTTCAAACTTATTGGCAACTACTAAAGTGTTCTTTTGATTTGAAAAAGAAAACAGCATTCCTCAATGGTAATCTTATGTAATAGTGTGTTTGGAGAAGATTAGAGATAGAGCTAACTTTTAATATTAATTTACCAAGTGGCTACTCACAATGAGTGTCCTTACAGCTGTTTAGCCCGAACATTTCATCATCGCACCAAGCAATGGCCCCTCACCATGATTTCACTAATTCATGATACTTTTATTATATTACAATTATATTTTCTCTGAATTTGTGGGGACATAGGTTTTCATAGCATTACTTTAGATGGCAAAGTTCTTTATTGAAGAATAAAATTGGTAAATTATTTTATTTAGTGTTAAGTGGTCATTAGATATGCTAAATATAAATTCTATATATTATTTTTAGTATTTTTTATAAAAAAAATTGGAATTAGGATCTCTGATTGCAATTGAATTAGTGTAGCATGTTTTATGGCAGGAACAAGTATTGCCTTATCTTTTCTAAATAATAGTATTTTTTGTGATATTGTTGTATATTACAATATAAATATAAAAGAGAAGGTGGATTGATCTAAATTGGGAATCCTCATCATCTTACCTTTATTTCATATAAACAGAGTCTGCCACATTAATTCTCTTTTTCTATTAAATTTTAAACTAGTTTCTAATTACTTAAATCTTGTGTTAATTTTGGTTAGTCATTTTTTTTTTTCACTATTATGCCCCACTATTTTTGTCATTTTGATATATATACTTATGAAATATTACCATCGCCCTCCTGAAATTATTTAAAAAAATCCCCCCCACATGAGTTTCTAGGTTCGTCCCTATTAAATGTCATCCTTAATTTCTCCCTTATGCATTGGTTATCAACTCTATATCTTCTAGTAGCTCCTATTATTCATTTCAACATTCTCATCTAAGTTCCATGAATGTATGCTGGTTATTTTAATGCCTAGCACTCAGTTCCATAAAATGGTTATTTTGAGTAATCTTTGGTCCTTGGATCATTACCAATGTATTGTAATCCTATCTGAATTTATTAAATTAATATTCCATATAATCTTTTTTAGTTAAACAAGTTTTTAAGCATTTTCCCTCTAAGTTATTTTTTAATGTTTTTAATTTTCTAAAGTTCTTCCATAGACTTGCCGATGCCCATAGAAGGGGTAATCATATTGGGGGGATTCGGGTGGAAGGGGAGACGTTGTGTAAGGTGGAGGAGTTTTGCAGGGTAATTACTGATTTCTATAAGAAGTTGTTCATAGAAACCTCTAGTTGGAGATCTTTTCTTGGGGGGCTTCTATTTGACTCAATTTCTGGTGATGAGTGCTCTTGTTTGGAGGAGCCTTTTTTGAAGAGGAAGTTTTGAAAACTGTAGAAACTAAAGAGAGAGAGAGAGAGAGAGAAAACAATGGAGGCGTAGTCCCTCTTTTTCCTTCTATTGTCAATCTCATAAGCCCTAATACATAAGGGGCTTATATACAAGAGGAAGTGTTACCTATTTACACACTAATCTCACATATTATAGAGAATTACATAATACCCCCAACTATATATATAATTACATTCTAACACTAAGAGAATATATATCATATAATCCTAGCTTGGTACAAATGATCTTCAATATGTGATGACCTAGAGCTTTAGAAAACACATCAGCTAGTTGGTCTTCAGACTTCACAAATGGAGTAATGATATTCCCAGTCAGTATCTTCTCTCGAATGAAGTGACAATCAACTTCAATATGTTTGGTCCTCTCATAGAACACATGATTGGATGCAATGTGAATGGCTGCTTGGTTATCACGAACAATGGAATAGCAGATTTGATTGTCAACCCAAGTTCCTCCAGGAAATTTTGTATTCATGTCAACTCACTAGTGGTATGAGCCATTGCCCTGTACTCAGCTTTAGCACTAGACCGAGCTACCATTGTTTGTTTCTTACATCTCCATGTAACAAGATTCCCTCCTACAAATGTGTAAAAACTTGTAGTAGACCTCCTATCTGAGGGGGATCCAGCCCAGTCAGCGTCTGTAAAACCTTCGACACTGAGACGACCATTCGATTTGTATAGCAACCCAAATCCTGGAGCTTGCTTGAGGTATCGAATAATTCGTAGGACAACGTTCCAATGTGGTACTTTAGGAGCTCCCATGAATTGACTTACGACACTAACTGCATATGAAATGTCGGGTCAGGTGATAGTGAGATAAATTAATTTCCCTACTAAACGTCGATATCTAACATGCTCGTCAAATATATCACCCTCATCAAACAAGAGTTTTGTATTTGGATCCATAGGAGTATCAGCGGGACGACCACCCAACATACTTGTTTCTTCTAATAAGTCCAACACATATTTTCTTTGAGACAAACTTATACCTTTCTTGGATCTAACAACTTCAATACCAAAGAAATATCTAAGTTTACCCAAGTCCTTAGTGTGAAACCGATTTTGCAGAAACAATTTCAACTTAACATTGCCTTTAGAATCATTGCCTGTAATCACAATATCGTCCACATACACCATAAGAAGAATGAAGCCAGCATTGGTGTGTTGGTGAAATACCGAGTGATCTATCTGGCATCTGTTAAGACCAAATGCTAATGCAACCTCAGAGAATTTTCTGAACTAAGCCCTTGGAGATTGTTTCAATCCATATAGGGCCTTCCTAGGATGACAAATAGTATGACGATACTCCTCCTGAGCAACAAACCCAGGTGGTTGCTCCATATAAACTTCTTCAGTTAAGTCACCATGTAAAAAGGCATTTTTCACATCTAATTGAAATAACGACTAGTTACAATTGACAGCAATAGAGATGAGGACTCGGATAGAAGAAATCTTAGCAACAGGAGAAAATGTCTCATCATAATCAATACCACAGGTCTGAGTGTACCCTTTTGCCACAAGACGAGCCTTACCCATCATGATGGTATTTGACAGTGTAGACCCACTTACAACCAACAGTTTTGGAGCTCGGAGGTAAGGAAACAAGATCCCATGTCCGATTACGGTGAAGGGCATCCATTTCATCTACTATAGCTTGGCGCCATTCGGAATTAGAGAGAGCAGTTTGCAAAGTCTTGGGAGCAAAAGTAGCTGACACTTTGGATAAAAAAAACATAAGAAAGAGGATGAAACATTACTGTAAGAGACAAAGTTAGAAATGGGATGTGCTGTAACACATAACCGGGGAGCCTTACAGAGAGCAATAGGCAAATCATCAGGTATAGTAGGTGGTGTCGGATCCAATGACTCCGAAAAACATGGAAGGAGCGAAGTAGGTAGTCGGGGGTGCCGAGTATAAACTTGCAATGGGACAACAGAGTGTGAAGGGTCGGGAGTAGGGAAAATGTGGCAAAGGTGGCTCAGGAGTAATAGCAAGAGGATGACAAGAATCAGAAAAATATAGGGTAGACTCAGAAAAAGTGACATCTGCACTAGTGAAATATTGGTGAAAATGAGAACTGTAGCAACGATAACCCTTATGAGTGAGAGAATACCCAAGAAAAACACATTTAGTAGCACGAAAGTCGAGTTTGTCAAGACCGGGTCTAACGTTGTGGACATAACAAACACACTCAAAGACCTGAGGAGGAAGATTAAACGATGCTAAATCGGGAAATAAGACAGAATAAAGAGATTTCCCTTGTAACACCAACGAGGGCATCCGATTAATAAGATGACAAGTCGTAACAACAGCATCACTCCAAAATCGTTTGGGAACATGATATGGAATAAAAGGGCACGACACACTTCCAAGAGATGATGATTTTTACGTTCAGTGACTTCGTTTTGTTGAGGAGTATAAGTGCAAGATGATTGATGAATGATGCCTTTAGCTTGAAAATAAGTCGTAAAAGGGTCCAAGAAATATTCTTTGGCCTTGTCAGAACGTAAAACTTTAATGGAACATCCAATTTGAGTTCTTATTTCTCTCTGAAATATTTAAAAAATAGAGAATAACTCAGAACAATTTTTCATTAAAAACAATGAAGTCATACGAGAATTATCATCCACAAATGTCACAAAATAACAAAATCCATTAATAGAAATATGATTGATTGGTCCCCATACATCTGAATGAACCAATTGAAAAGGAATAGCAACACGATTATGAACTCTAGGTTTGAAGGACACACGACAATGCTTACTAAGCTGACATGCTTCACAAGACAATGACTCAACACGACTAAGACCGGGGACTTGCTACTGCAAAACGGATAATGATGGGTGACCAAGACGACAGTGCCACTGGAAAGAAGACAATGATGACTGAAGAGCCGTGGGAGATGGGTCAAAATCAAGGTAATACAAGCCACCAACTTCATGTCCCGTACTAATCTTCTTCTTCGTCGTGAGATCCTGAAAAATACAACATGTGGGATAAAATGTAACGAAACAATGAAGAGATTTAGTAATTTTACTAATAAACATCAAATTAAAAGGAAATTGAGGAACATATAAAGACAGAGAAGAGAGACAAAGAAGTTGTGAGATGAGTGGTTCCTAAACCCAAAATTTTATTAGACGAGCCATTAGTAAGAGTAACATTTTGAGATGAAGGAGCAGAATGAAAATCAGATAAGAGATGATAGCTACCAGTCATGTGATTAGATGCTCCAGAGTGAAGAATCCAGGGATTCGAACGAGAGGACAAGAGATAGGTAGGCGCACTACCGAATTGGGCAAATAAAACCATGGAAGATGGGGTAGAAGTCTGTTGTTGAGACATAAGCTGAGCATACGCATCGCGGGGAATCGTGACCATGGAAGGCTCAACAGCCAAGTGTGAAGCAGTTGGTGTCGCAGAGAAAGAAGAATCCCCTTCAGTAGAGGTCACTTGATGTGCAAAGGTAGAAGGTGACGGTTTCCCATGAAGAGCCCAACAATAATTAGCGGTGTGATTAGTAAGACCACAGTGAGTTCAGATTCTAGAGTCTTTACCTTTGCCACGACCACAGCCATGGCCACAACTACGGGTAAAACGACCACCACCTCCATGAAAAGATTGAAAGCCACTCTCAGAGACAACCAAAGCAGAACGTTCATTGCTAGGAGGAGCAGAATCGCTTGAAGTACCCCCTGAAGCTCCACTAGATAAAGTAGCACGCTGAAGTCTGGAAAACATACTAAGAAGAGAGGGAAGTGTAGAACTACCCAAAATCTGTGCCCAAAGGGGTTCATACTCTTGTGACAGCCCTGTGAGAACACGGACAACATTAAAATGCTCACGTTGTTATTGCACACTCTTTACATCAGAGATGATGGGCTGATACAAACTAAAGAGAAAGAGATTAAGAGAGAGAGAAAAAAATGGAGGCGTAATCCCTCTTTTTCCTTCAATTGTCAATCTCATAAGCCCTAATACATAAGGGGCTTATATACAAGAGGAAGTGTTACTTATTTACACACTAACCTCACATATTATAGAGAATTACATAACACCCCCAACTATATATATAATTACATTCTAATAAAAACATAGCCCCAGGTTTCAGTGGCTTCTCCATGAGATTCCTTTTGAGAGTTGGGAGGTGGTTAAGGGGGAGGTGATGGGTACCTTTCACGCATTTCATGCTCATAGTTGTTTTGAGAAGAGTTTGAATGCTACTTTTATTGTTTTTATTCCAAAGAAGGGGGAGGGGGGCATTGGATGTTCGGGATTTTTGACCTATCAGTTTGGTGGGAAGCATTTACAAGTTAATTGCCAAAGTCCTTGCTTTTAAATTAAGGAGAGTCTTGGACGGGGTCATTTCCGACTCTCAAAATCCCTTTGTTGAGGCTGTCAGATTTTGGATTCAGCCCTTATCGCTAGTAAATGTGTGGGTTCCAGATTGTGTAGTGGGGTTTCTAGTGTTCTTTGCAAATTGGACATTGAGAAGGTGTATAATCACGTGAGTTGGAGCTTGAGAGGATGGGGTTTGGTGAAAGATGGAGGAGATGGATACAGTTTTTCATTTCTAGTGCTCATTTTTCCGTTATAGTGAATGGAGCTCCGAGACAGGGGGATCCGCTCTTTCCTTTTTTGATACTTATTGTGATGGAGGCCCTTGTAGATTGATGAGGAGGGCTGTTGACTTGGGTTTTTTGAGAGGCTTTAAGGTGGCTAGGGATTCAACTAGTCAGTTGGAGATCTCTCACTTGATGTCTGCGGATGACACTTTAGTGTTTTATGAGAGGTTTTATGGTGGAGATCGCGACATTAGCATATATTCTTAGGTACAACATTGGTTTGTTTCCCATCTTTTATTTGGGTTTACCCCCTGGGTCATCCTCGAGGAATATGGGTAACTGGGATCCTGTGGTAGAGAGATTTAAGAGGAGCTTGGCGGGATGGAAATCTTTCTAAGGGTGGAAGGGTCACTCTGATGAAGAGCACCCTTTCAAGCCTCCTTACATATTTCCTGTCTTTGTTTCAAATTCCCTTTTTCGTGGCTGAGACGATTAAGAGGTTGCGGTGGAATTTTCTTTGGGGGGCTTGGGAGAGGAGTTCAAGTTCCATTTGGTTCATTGGGAACATATATGTAGTCCGATTTGGGTCAGAGGCTTGGGAATTAGAAGATTGGCGTCTTTCAATAAGACTCTCCTTGGGAAGTGGCTTTGGAGATTTTGGTTGAAAGGCATGGGCTATGGAGGATAGTGGTTGCGAGTAGATTTGGGGAGGGGATAAGAGGTTGGAGCTCCCTTGAGGTGCGTATTCTAGGGGGTGCTGGGGCTTGAAAGTCCATTCGGAAAGGAAGGGATGATTTTTCTTAACACATCATTTTTCGGCTCAGGGATGGTAGGAGGATCCGTTTCTGGGAGGACGTTTGGTGTGGTGATCACTCTTTCACTCTCTCCTTCCCTCGCCTCTTTAGGATTGCCATGGATAGGCAAACTATGGTGGTTGACTATTTTCAGCTTTATAGCGGGAGATCATCTTGGGATGTTCGTTTCACGAGGCACTTTTAGGATTGGGAAATTGAAGATGCCATTAGTTTTTTGGAGTTACTATATTGCCATGAGATCATGGGTGGAGTTTCTGATGGCTGGGTGTGGGTCCCTGCTTCTCAAGGTCATTTTGATGTTCGGTCCTTCTATAGATGTCTCATAGAGGGGTCTGGGTTCCTTTCCTGTGGAAGGCTGTTTGGCTCTCCAAAGCCTCCCTCAAGGTGGTTTTCTTCACTTGGACATCTGTTTTGGGGAAGATCTTAACCCAGGATAATTTGAAGAGAAAGAATCAGGTTGTGGTCAATCGTTGTTACATGTGCCTTCGAGATGAGGAGATGGTGGATCGCCTTTGGCATTGCACCATAGCTAGGGAGGGATTTGATGCTTGATTTGTTTGGGTTTCAATGGGTCATGCCCAAGTCCTCCATGAGGCTTGAAAAGGTTGTATAGTGGGGGGTCGAGTCCGGGATGTTTAGAGGGTTACGCCTTTGTGTGTCTGGTGGTGTCTTTGGCTCGAAAGAAACGGGAGATTCTTTGAAGGGAAGGAGAATCCTATTTCCATACTTAAGTTCTATTATTACCACTCTTTTTTGTTGGGAGTTAGGGAGGAATTATAGATCTTTAGAGGAGATTGTAGATTTTTTGGACACTTTGAAAGCTTAAGTTCCCTATTTGGCCTTGTGTAGTTCCCTTAGGATGCGCTCCGCTTTTGAACTCTTTTTATAAACTTCTAAAACAAATTAAAAAATTATTGCTGGGGATTTCTTAGCAACCCCATTGTAGGGAGGATCTTCATTCTAGGTTCTAATAGATCAATGCTAAATCCCTACTAAAACTGAATGGGGTGAATAGATCCTGTGAAAACCTAACTAGCATGAAATGATTTTAAAATTTTGATAATATGTAATTAAATAAACCTAGTAAACACATATTTGTGGAATAAAAATAGAACAGAATACAAAATAGAGATCATTCACACCTAAGACCAAAATTATGGGGAAAAAACCATGCCCCAAGCTAGGCAGATCAAAGTGTACCATGGATAAAGGTATTACAATCCTAGATATCAGACTATAGGTCCCATGGAACCACCTAAATAACCTCAGATTCATACTTAGATTGAATGTTCTACCCCAAATTCCATTTCTCTCGATCTATGGATTTGTTCACCGAAGCAATTTGCTTTTCTTACTACATGATTGAGCTCTACATCTAGCAAATTAACTATCTTGTTTATGTTTATGTTTATGTTGAATTCTCTGATATTGTTCACAGCGATAGATTCAATACTTTGAATAGCCCACTCACCATCCAATGCAGAATGATTTATGATAAAAAGAAATTTGAATGCTCTCCATATGTATCTTTGTGATGAAAAGAAAAATATGTGCTCTTGATATGTATCTTTGCTTACATAGAGTTTCTGTCTAAAAGATTGCCGAGTTCAATCCATCAAACTCTAATAGCGAACAAAGATACTTATCGAGAGCATGTATTAAACCATCAAGAAGTCTTTCTTCCATCCCCTATGATATGTTTAATGTGGTTCCTAGCAGTGTATCTCAATCTCATGATCTTTCTCCAATACCAAGACCATTCACTATTGATTTTGAATTTCCTAATGTTCTTTCTTTCAAAATATAGGTCTGCACTCGCTATATCCATAGAGAAGGGTTCTTACCATCTGTTATAAGCATTTTTTGTTTTTTCTCTCTTAATTATCTGTTATAAGCATTTTCTTAGTTTAGTTTCATTTTTTTTTTTTAATTTTCTTAGTTCAGTTTCATTTACCATATTCAGTTTAGTTTCATTTACCATATTCTTAGTTCCATTTTATAAATTTTCAGTGGCAAAAAAAAGTCTGACTGTAGTTTATATTTGGTTTTTGTTTTGCAGGTTATAGTGTTATAGCAAGTGTACTGTGTAAATAACAGGGGGACTATTCTTGGTTGAGCTTAAGATCCTCCTTTAGAATAGAATTTGTTTGAAACTGTTTTTGACTGTATATGACAATGCAATTGTATATAGAATAAGGTTGGAGGACTGCTCAAAATATTACCCTTAGTCAAAGAGATGAATTTGTGAAGATATTCTTAGTTACCATACCCAATAATGACCATAAAGTTGGAAAAAGATAAAAGCTTCTATCTTCTATTTCTGTTCACTTCTTTGGAGCTTTGGCTGCTTCCAGATTCTATTATATTTTACTAATGGCTCAGTTTATTGTTAAAAGTGTTTTTTTTTTTGGGTTTTTAGGCTGTGGCTCAGTGGCTGTAGTGTTGCTCGTTTTCTTTCCTTCGTATTTAGTTGGCCTTGCCCAGGCCTTGATGTTTCTTCTAATAAATTTATAATTTACCAGGAAAAAATGTAATTAACATTAATTCATAGTCTATCTAAAGAAATGTAATTAACATTAATTCATAGTCCATCTCAATCACCCTAGCTCTTTAGCAAGTTATTTGCATCCGGATCCGGATCCTGAAGAGGATTGACGTTTTGAAGGATAATTGGCAGTCACTTAAAACTAGTTTAGGTATCATTTCTTTTAAATATTCTGTTTTGTTTTTAAAATATTAATTTCATTCCCTTTCTCGGCAAGCACCACAGCCACCGAGCACCATCCCTCGAACTAAACCAACGTGATGACAATTAATTGAAAAAATTTAGAAGGACTTTAAACAGATCGCTTCTTAAACTATCTTATTTTGTTTCAGCATACCTCCAATGACTTACTATATTTCATTAAATGATCATAATGTCCCTTTTTATTGAATTACATTTAATATATTTTTCTTATCTAAATAAATTATGAAAAAATTTATACTAATTTGATGATATATTTTTCATTAAATTTGAATAAATTTGCGTTTAATTTTTTTAATGAATTATTTAAATAAAATTTTTTAGTAGATTTTTTTTAATTAATTATTTTTTTAATTTTTAATGAATATATTACATGAAAAGAAGGTATTTTTTTAGAAAGTATTTTATTATTTTTTCATCAATCTATTGTACGAAAAAGATCGTATTTTTTTACGATAAAAATGTTTAAATTGGTTATAATATTTTTAAGTATAAATAATAAAGTTTTAATAATAAGTTAATCAATTTAGAAAATGGTAGTTACAAATCTATTTATATATATATTTTTTCATTTCTATGATAAATTGATGCTAAAAATAAAATTAAGGTAAATAGTATAATTAATATTTACGTAAGAGAAAATATAATAAAAATAATTTAATAATATATAAAAATTTTAATGAGAAAGGGTAAAATAGTCTTTTGTGATGAATTTGTCCTTAATTGCAACAAATCAATAGTTCAGGGGGTTATTTGCAAAAGGGCAATAATTTAGAGTTTTTTTTTTTTTTTTTTTTTTTTTTTTTTTTTTTTTTTTTTTGTACGTATCCCTTAATTAAACTACTCGATCAACAACTTTTAATATGTGATCCAATTTTGTTCCATGACATCTAATATTCAATCAACGAGCTAGAGAAGTCTAACAAGGATATAATTTCTTGCTCCAAAAAAATAAAGTTATTCCATTTCTTTTCTAAAATCAAATTTCATATTATTTCAAAACTAAATTCTTATCAAAACACAATAACAAATTTTATAGTTTTATATATACCCCAAAGTCCTAACCCATTGAAGTCCATTTGCAAAACTGCACAAACAATAAAGCCAATGCCCCGGACTTATATATGGTGGATAAGGGAATCCCATATTTTCCTTTCCCAAACAGCCCCTTAAGATATGGCCAGAAACAGAGCACCACATACATGCTACCTATGAACTCCCCTATCCCACACCCATTCCCATCATTATGAACTCGTCGAAACCCTAATAGTCCAGTGGCTAATGCCATCAAGTGCACCAACAAAACAGTGGTGCCCGGGATGAAAATCCAAGACTCATTGAATGTGTACCTTCCAGCATTGGCATCGACATTGTCATCATCATCTCCACTACTTGTTTGCTCTTTTTGTGTAACCTCAAACACCGTCTCTGATAAACCTAAGTGCTTCAGCATAACACTTAACATTCCAAATAACCATGCAGTCATCGCGATCACTGTCCACATTCTTTGGTTATTCCACCATGCGCGAATTGACAGGCCAATTCGAAGATACTCTGATAGGGTGTAAAGGTTGAAGATGACAAATATCGAAACCGGTATCAATATGGCCGATTCTTGAACCTACAGGAACCAATCAAACTTATTGTGTTATTTGAATTTTATACGTATTTTATGTCTAAAGGGTTTGTAGTATAGTGGTACTTTTTACCTGTCCAAAATTTAAGTTCATAAGACAAAGTGAGTGTATGTCTCAACAAAGAAAAAAAAAAGAAAAAGAAAAACAAACTTGACAAAAAGACATATTATGTTACCTTCAGTTTTGTGAAAATAGTTGAGAAAATTGAGAAGAAAATAATCTCTTTTTTTTTTCAAATAATTAAAATACAGTTTTTGAAACCAAATTTATTTTTTTGTTTTAATTGAATTTTAGAAAACAGTATTTACAAACTATTGACCAAATAAATTTTTATGCAATTTTCTAATCTGGTTTTTTGATAAATAAAAAGTTATTCTAAGAAAACTAAACCAAAGAAACCTCATTTTGTTGTAGCATTAGTTAAACTCTATATGCTCGCATGGACGGAGCTATTCATAGTCATTGCCCCCACTGATTTTTTTTTTATAAATATTATTCCCTTGTAAATTTTTTATTTTGAAACATATAACTATGAAAATTAACATTTGCCCCCACTAATTTTAACATATACATATGAAAATTAACATTTGCCCCCACTAATTTTAACATATACATATAAAAATTAACATTTGCCCCCACTAATTTTTTTAAAAAAATTTGCACTATTGCCCCCACACATCCACAATGTTGGGAATCTTTAAAGAGAATTTATTTATTTTTTCTAAGGTTGCCCCCTCGCATAAATTTCTGAATCCGTCCCAATATGCTTGGATAATAAATTGATCTAGTGGACAGATCCAATGAATAATTTATCTATGTTTGGCTTTATTGAATAGAAACCTTAGAATTGGAATTGATAAAATTAAAGAAAAATTTAGTTCAAAGTAAAAATAAAATTAAATTAAATTAAACTAATTTTTTTTTTTTTTCTAATTCTAATCCCAATGCTCCAACTCCGAATATAGCCTAAATAAATATCGATTAGGGATGAATGGCTGTGGTTGGTTCTTACCTTGGGCAAGAAGCGTGAGTTGGTGAGGATAGAAAACGCGGGCAAAGCAGCATAACACAGCTCTGGAATTGAACGCAGGGCCCAAACTTGAATACACATGTATGCTATGCATTGCTTCAACTGGAGCTTACCAGTGAGCGTAGCAATCAATGGGCTTCTTGGGCTGATTAGGATTTCTAGAAGCCCAGTGGCCCATCTCTTCTGCTGGATCATAGACGTAGGCCCAGTCGAAGGTACACACCCTAAAAATGCATCTGGGTCAGGATTACAGTAGGCGGATCTCCAACCCTTCCTATGAATGGCAAGTCCAGTAAGCATGTCTTCTGCTGTAGATCCATATAGCCAACCAACCTGAAATGTTGTCATCAAATCACCACTCATAACAACTATCATATGCAGTGACGGACTCAGGAATTTTTTTGAAGGGAGCGCGAATAAAAAATATTGAAGATAATTTTTTTAAAAATAAAATAATAAATATAAGAATTTGATTTTTTGTGGCTTGTCCGACTCAGATTGTTTGATATTTTAGTTGTGTCCGTACTTCCTAAATTACCATGGATGCGGTGAAGAAAGAAAGCCGATTGATTTTACTTTCTTTTTGATCTAAAAATATTAGTGAGTATTTTTAAAAATTAACTTGGAATATCAAAATGTGTGAGAGAGAATCATGAATGTGGCGGGGCAGTAGAGAGTGAAAAAGAGATGATTATCTTTTGGATAAAAAAAAAAAAAAAAAAAAAACAGAATGGGGGCAAGAATTTGAAGTGGGTAGTTTTACAAATTGAGAGGGTGGCATTTTTTAAATTTTAACAAAAAAATATAAGTAATAATGCAAATAGAAAAAAATCCAATGGGCACTGGTCCTAACCAGGTCCATGCCTGATTCATATGTTAACACATGCCCCATTGGGTATCTACTCTCATTTTAAAGTGAAAGGCAGAGAGGATTAGTGTTGCAGTGGGAAACTCGGCTCACATCAAATCCGGATAGCAAGTGAAATGGCTATAAAAGCGTTAGAAATGGGTTAGATATTAACCATACATAATAGTTTAATCGTTTGAGTTGGATCCAATTGCGTATCTAGGGGAGGGACCTCCAAAAAAAAAAAAAAAAATTATTACTATGGGTAATTTTTAACCCAGCCAAAATATATATATATATATATATATATATATATATATATATATAGTATTAGCCCACCCAAGCCCAAGTCAGTTAAGGCACAATATTAAAATAAAAACCAAGCCAAACAAGCCCAAGCCAAACAAGCCCTAATAAAAAAGTTTGCTTAAGAAATTGTGTTATTAAATTTATGTTTAATTTTAGTTCACCTCATTGATAATTTCTGAATCCACCCTTGATTGGATCGCGAAGCACTCAACTCGTTAAGGTTGTATTGTAAGAGTTCTTTGTCAGGTAATTTTTTTAGTAATAAACTAAGCAAGCACTTTTTTAATTTCTTCTTTTTCACTCTTGATTGAGCATGATATAAACTTAGTTTTTAGAGCATTAATTTGCAGTTATGTATATACTAATTAATATAACAAACCACACAATATGTAGTCTCTCACCTGTGTACCCCAACTGGTGCCATGTTCATAGACACAACTTGCGACCTTGCAGGCTGCCTCCATTGAAGTTGAAAGATCCAGTTGACTATAAGATTTCCCATTCCACCCTAACAAAATCTGAGCAGCTGCTTTGTTGAATATCTTCAAATTTCCAAATCTTTTCCCCAAGTACTCATCGCTCAATTTACCTAATAATATCTTGTAATTCATTTAGTATTATATAATATATATAATATATATATGTATATAACAAGAAGAACTAGTAGTTAATTCATGTACCGTTAATTTGTTTCTCATCGGGTGATAAGCCATAAATAACTTTTCTTCTATGAAAACATCCAGTTCCACAGTAAAATGGTCCTTGAATCCCGGATGCTCCACTCACAATGTACTATTTTAGACGTTAAAGAATAATTTAGATTGATCTTATAAATTTATTCAAAAGTTTTCTTATACTATATTAACCAAAAAAAAAAACAGAGTAGTAATAATAGATAGATTGTACTAGTATTAAAATGACAAGTTTAATTAATGACGCACTTCTTGCAAAACCACCAATTGATTTCCAAATGGATCATCCTTTGGTCCATCATAGAAGCATTGGGGGGACTGAACGAATGCGCAGTCCCTTTTGTTTTCGACACCAAGGAGCAGACACATTGCATGAAGAGCGATTTGTGAATTGTTGACGTACATGTCACAATCTACGTTTAGAATGAAAGGAGCATTCGTCATCACTCCGGAGACTCTGGTCTGTTCACGATATTGATCATGTTAACTTTGATAAATTAACGATATTAAAATGAATAATTAAGAATATATAATATGAGATATGGAAATGTATGTGTATAGTACAGACAAAGATTGCATATACAAGTTAGAACTTCCTTGTCGGTGCTGAAAAATTTCTTACTAAGACATTCATTGCGCCAGCTTTGAAATGGTGTGGATGCTTTGGACGCTTCTCTCTTGAAATATAGACAAGATGTGGCAATCCATTTGGACCAACATCCTCGTTCTCCCAGATTACCTATAAAGGGACAAAACACTTTCAGATGACTTGTTCTACTCTGTAAATACTACTATTGATCATTTTCACAATGAATTATAGAGAAATACTAGTTTCTCATGCTTCCTGCACTTTTCTGCGAAACAAAAAAGTAACTTACATCACAATTCACAGATTATTATTATTTTTTTCTCTCACTCATTATTGTCCAAATGGAGATGAATGGAATCTTCAACCTTCTAGAGCTGGATACCACTTGGTTAACCTCCATCTTATCCATTTCATCTTATTGTCTAATACAGACTCACAAATATATTTTGGGACTAATATATTTTAGGATGGATTAGTACTATTAATTTTTTATTTTATTTTTTTGAACTAGACTAAAATTACCTATAATAAAATAAAAATTAAAATTAAGGGGGTTCAAGGCCCCTTGGATCCGCCCAGTCCAAATGGAGACAAATCGGATCTTCAACCTTCTGGAGCTACATACCACTGGGTTAACCTCCATCTTATACATTTCATAATTAAAATTTTCAAAACAAATCAATACAAGAGCTACAGCATATATATAATGATACCCTAATTAATGTGTGTCAATAACTAGTCATATATCATGGGTCATAATTTTACTTTGTTGAGAGTTGAGATGAAATAGAAAATAAAATGATGTTTAATAATTCATTTTATTTTTAATATTTTAAAAGCAAAAAATTAGAAAGTAAGTTTAATAATTATAATTATAATTTTATTTTCTAAAATCATCCCCAATTTACCATCTCTCTCAATCATATGCCGCCATGGCCGCACCACCCTGCAAGAACAACAGCGACAGCACTGCCACCACCACAGTCCCCACCTCCTCAACCACCACCACACCACCATCACCATCATTATGATTCCGGAGAACAAACCACCACCAACACCACGACAATCATTCACAGCCCCACCACCACTATAGTCATGGTGGTTGCCTAAATTCCCGACTCAAGAGTCACCATCTGACAAAGTAATGGCTGTGAACAGTGTAGGAAGTAGAGAAAGTAACAAATCTTCGCTTTCTCTTTAATAAACATAATTTTTATTTTTACTTTACATTTTAGGAATTGACAGAAAAAAAAAACAGAAATTATTCGTGTTAGTGAAGAGGCCTTGTATGTATACCTTAATTATTGTTTGATGGTTTGTGCGTTCAATATTTGAGAACACTGCAAATTCGCCAGTTAGGTCACACGGAAAGGACCTTCGAGCAGCATCTTCAATTTTTTGACTAAGCTGTTCATATGCACCCTACAAACAAAGAAAGACGAAGCACATTTGTAAAATATCAATGCCAGTACTTATCTACATGTAACGACTTCTATTTTAATTACCTTCATCTTCTTCCATTCTTGCTGGAACTCCAAGGAAGTATCAACGCCTAATGACGACTCGGTCTTTCTAGGAAAGTATCGAAATGGAGCTCTAATCTGAACTTTGTACTTCTTACAGAAAGGAACCCACAGCTTTGCAAACTTGGAAGCTTCTATTAGGGCATAAAAAGTGAGAGGGGAAGCGCCGTCGTCGGAAACATAGCAAGCCAACTTGTCAGCTGGGTAATCTAATGCTAACAAGGATAGAACAGTGTTCACTGTGATGATAGGTGGTTCTACTGCAGCGTCTGCTGTTGTAACAAACATGTCCACTGGAGGGAGTTCAGAAGCCCTATTGAAAAGAAAATATATTAAAATTAAACATACATATAAACTTAATTCGTCAACTAAGATACCAGGCCTCGAACCTGCTCAAAGGGGTGAAGTAAAAATGGACTCCAAACCGAAACATGCATGCTTGCAAGGATGGGTAACATACATATAATCTTAACCAAGTTATATGTAAACAACCACTCTAATTTTGTACATGTTATACCATTGCAAAACATGTTCATATATATATGTGTGTGTGCGCGTGAGCACGCGTAGAATAATTTGTAGTTTGTATATTTAATTATACCATTGCAAGAGTCTTTCAGGGTGTGTTATGAAATCCACTTGATTCCATTTAGTGGTGACAGTAAGAATCCACACGAAAGTGAAGAATAGCTCGCAAAAGAAGGCCATGAGCCAAGAGACGCCATGGTTTTCACGGTTAAGAAGACGATAGATAAGGAGGGAGATGAGAAGGAAGAGGATAATGAGTTCCACAGCTCGTGGTTTCGTGTTTTTACGACAAATTCGTTCATATAGTGGGAGAGAGGAGACTGAGCTGGCCATTGAAGAAGCTAAGAGTACTGTGAGTCTGTGATAAACTAGCTAGAGTTCTGGTATATATATATGTATATGTAAGTAGTAGTGTATATAAATATGGATGTCACAAAAAATTTTGCTATTAGGATTAGGCGAACAAGATGCTAAATCTCAAGACTGAATAATTGTCACTTCCCACATCACAAGGGTAACCGGCACTTACATATATTTGAGATACCTTGTAATTGTGTTGAGCAATTTTCAAAATTGCTAACAATAATAATTATATTACTTCAATTTTTGGTTTACAAATCTAATCTTTTCATCTTTTTCATGTGCTAATGACCTCTTAACCCAATGCTATGCAAATGTAGAGATAGCAATTTCTTCCGACTCGTTGGGTTTTCGCCCTGCTCCGCTCCTAATGGAACAAATTTGGTAGCTCCATAAATGGGTTTGGGATGGATATAGTAAAAGAATTGAAAACTCGAAGCGGGTTTGGAACGGGAGCGAATTTAGTGATACCCTCAACCCACCCCCGATTATATATATATATAGAGAGAGAGAGAGTATATATTTAAGTTAAATGTCCATTAATATATTTTGACTAAATAGTCACTAGAATCACTACTTACTAAAATTTTACAATTGTGCATATGATTCAATCTTTAAGAATCAATCAAGGATTCGAGATCTTAATATTCTATCCCAAGTTTAGAAATTAATTCAACAGTTTAAATTTTATTGCAATTAAACAGAGTATGCAGGGCGGAATTGGTATTTTGTCTATTAAAATTGGGACAAAAATGGTATACCAATTATAAACCCATCTCAAAGTTAAAACGAAATTGGTATGACTAATTTTTTAACGAGAGCAAATAAAATGTAGTCAATTTCATCCCAACTCTACCACGTTACGATCCTTATGCAAATGGCCTGAGACATGTCAATTAAAAGGTATTAAATAGTTCAACGACCGACCAACCACAACAACTAAGCGATCAAATATATTAATTTATAATTGCACGTGGCTTGTTCTGATTGATGGAACCCCAACTACGTAACAATTAATTTCCCCACTTCAAAGACATACAAGCATATCATCTTTTTCACACACGTGCTTTCTTCTCCCAGGACAGTTGGTATGAAAAGTACTCGGACAGTTGTTCTGATTGATGGAACCCCAACTACGTAACAATTAATTTCCCCACTTCAAAGACATACAAGCATATCATCTTTTTCACACACGTGCTTTGTTCTCCCAGGACAGTTGGTATGAAAAGTACTCGGAACAAAAAAAAAAGAATATATGAAAAGTATCAAACAGACTTCTTCCACCTCATCCTTAGTTGTTGGTTTATATCAAGGATGTGTTTGGTAGGGTTGATTTGGAGAGAGGGTGAAAAAAAAAAAAAAATAAAGAAAAAAAGGGTAGGATAGGAATGTGTTTGGGTAGATTAAGAAGAGAGAAAATAAAGAATAGGGAGGGATCATTTGGTTTCTTTCCCAATTTGAGAAGATATGGAGAGAAATAATAGTGAAGTAATTAATTAGTAATACCAAAAATACCCTCTAACAATCCATATACAGAAAAATTATTCCATTTATATCCCAAACAAAAATAATTATTATTCCTTTCCTGAAAGGGTAGGACAGTAATTTAGTCACTATTATTTCTTTTCTTTTCTCTCTTCTATCTTATTCAAATAAGAATAACTATCATTTCTTTTCTTTTCTCCCATATCAATCCAAACACGAATAAAAATTATTACTATCCATTCTTTTCTTTTCTTTTCTCTCCTAATTAATATTATTCATTCTTTTCTTTTCTCTCATATCTATCCAAACACACCATAGCTAAGAGCATCTCAACAATTAGGGATGGGAAGCAGCGGATCAAGTTGGCTAAATTTTATTTCACTCTCTTAAAAAAATTGTCACGTGTAAAATTATCATTCCTATCAATAGTGTGTTAAAAGATTAGGGGTGGAGTGGAGTAGAAACCCGCCAGGTCGGAGGAAATTGTCACTCCTACCAACAGTGCGTTAAAAGATTTTTTTATTATTTATAAAATATGCAAAATATGTAAAAAAAATAATAATAATAATAAATAAATAAAAAATCTATTTTTTATCTTCATTAATATGTTAAGATACATTGTTACATCACCAATGTGTAAAATTGTTATATATTTTGCACAGCCCTTTTACACATCCACATTAGTATTTTTCTCTCTCCTCCCTCTTTCGCATTCCATTAACAAATCAATCCTATATTAAGTAAGTTTGTAAAAATTATGTAGATCTTGGGCATGACACGTGATTACTTATTATTGACAGATATATTTTTACACAAAATGTATAAAACAATGGCTATAGCTAAATATAATTAGTTCAATTTTTTTATATAAATCTATTCCGACACATCAAATTCCGAAAAATATATATATATATAGACAACCATTGGAGATGCTCTCTACCTATTGTCAAACTTTCAATGTGATAACTGGAGATTTAATTGAGTACATTGTCGTCCAACTTAAATTCGCTTTAATATATATATATATATATATATATACACATACATTTCTCCATTAATATACATTTCTCTATTAATTGCTGCCTAGTTCACTCTTTCAAAACATCTAATTTAAATTTTTATTACGATTTATAATAAAATTCATCTATGTTAATTTAAAATATGAAATAATATTGTTTCAGCAATTGAGTAAGGTGATATGTTATGCACAGTTAAATACCAAACTTTGCCGTTTGAAAGGTAGTTTCAATAGTGGGCAGCAACTAAAGATAGTGATTAATTTGAAAGGTTGTTTCAACACTACCTTTGAGAGGCAGCAGTGGTATACTTCATGACATTTATTGATATAATACCTGACGTTCATATTAAATTTAAAATGGATTGAATTAGACTAATATAGGATTCGATTCTGAGAGGCTTACACTTTGTTTGGAATGCTAGATTTGATAAGATTTGAATTTGAAAATAGGAAATATTTTTTGAAACCCTAACCGAATATGAGATCTAAAATTTTAAAAAGTCACAAAAATACAAATTTTTGAACTGAATTGGAGGGCCTAGGTGACTATCTGGTGCGCCCTGCACTAATATCTTAACTATTAGAAAGTTCTAAAATACTCCTATTATTATTATTATTGCAACAAATATTCCAAATTTATAAAATGTTGGAAATTATCCCATTTGGCAGCCAAACATTGAAAATTTAATTTTATGTGACATATGAACAGTATATTTTGATAAAAATATCATTATACGTGCAACAAACACTCTTTAACTTGCTACTTATAAAATTAGATAAATAAATATATGTAAGGATATTTTGTCAAACCATCAACCCACATATCAAATGTGTGCCCAAATTTCAACGTCTTTTTAACTTGCTACTTATAAAATTAGATAAATAAATATATGTAAGGATATTTTGTCAAACCATCAACCCACATATCATATGTGTGCCAAAATTTCAACGTCACTTTACAGAGGGATAATTGTTAACTTTTGATTAGTTAAATGTATTTGTTAAAAAACCTTTAAAATATAGGGGGAAAAATAAAATAGATGTTAATTCTCTCCCATATGCTAAATTCATAATGAACACATGTTATTTTATTGTTTGTGCTACATCAATGTTGAGAAGACAAGGTTCATTATTATTTATATAGACAACATCTTCATTAATGGACAACTAAAATGCATAACAATTATTAATTAAAAATCTACTCTATGGAATTTTCCATCTAACTATCAAATATTTACAATCTCTACAAATCTCTCTATTTTTAAGAATATAATATAATTTACAAATTCATGCACTCTCTTTAATATTCTAGAATCCTACGGTCCACCACTCTAGAACATTCCACAATTCTATACACAAATGTAATCGATTATATATCCATTTTTCTCTTATATCGTATAGACCCCACAACACCCGTGTGCCGCCTGCCAACCTCCCTGCATATTGGCCGAACATGACATTATGAAATTAAAGGTTTAATATTGCTTAAGGGATTCAAAGAATTCCAATTTTGTTAGTGGTGAATTTCGGTACTTAATTTATTTTATTTATTTATTTTGTTTATGAAAAAATCATGCATTTATAATTTAAATTTAAAAAAAATAAATATTACATAAATGAATATATACCTAAATGAACATTGATACACTCTCAACGTTGCTGCCAAATTGGTTAAATTAAAGGATTCTCTTGAAGTCCTTATATCCCAAGTCCTAAGGACCTAACCCATTGAAGTCCATTTGCAGAATTGCACAAACAATAAAGCTAACGCTCCGGACTTATATACGGTGGATGAGGGAATCCCATATTTTCCTTTCCCAAATAGCCCCTTAAGAAATGGCCAGAAGCAGAGCACTACACACAAGCTAGTTGTGAACTTCCCTATCCCACACCCATTCCCATCATTGTGAACTCATCAAAACCCTAACATTCCGGTGGCTAATGCCATCAAGTGCACCAACAAAACAGTGGTGCCCAGGATGAAAATCGGGGACTCATTGAACGTATACCTTCCAGCATTGGCATTGACATTGTCATCATCATTACCATTACTTGTTTACTCTTTTTGTGTAACCTCAAACACCGTCTCTGATAGACCTAACAGCTTCAGTATAACATTTAACATTCCAAATAACCATGCTGACGTTGCGGTCACTCTCCACATTCTCTGGTTGTTCCACCATGCGCGGATTGACAGGCCAATTTGAAGGTACTCTGATAGGGTGTAAAGGTTGTAGATGACAAATATTGAAACCGGTATCAATATGGCCGGTTCTTGAACCTGCACAAACAAATCAAACTTATTGTATTGTTCAAATTTTAAATTTTAAATGTATTTTATTATCTAAAGGCCGGGTTGTAATTTAGTGGTTATTTCTACTTTTATTATATAAAATGTCCAGAATTTAAGTCCACGACAAAAAATGAGCATGTGTCTACACAAAAGAAAAACAAGAACTTATTTACCAACAAAAAAAAAATTAAACATAACAAACAACACTAATAATTCAAGAAGTGTGAGTTGGTGAGGATAGAAAACGCGAACAGGTCCAATGAATAATTTCTCTAAATGAATAATGGTTAGGGATGGAGGGTTGTGGTTGGTGCTTACCTTGGGCAAGAAGTGCGAGTTGGTGAGGATAGAAAACGCAGGTAAAGCAGCATAACACGGCTCTAGAATTGAACGTAAGGGCCAACCTAGAAGAGTCGGAGACACATGTATGCCATGCATTACGTTACCAGTGACCATAGCAATCAATGGGTTTTTTGGGCTGATTAGGATTTCTAAGAGCCCAGT